CCAAGTATGTGGTATTTTCTTCCTGCTTTTATCCTTTATTGCTGCATAACTTAAGTGATTAAGGGCAGGGTGAAGACACTCTGGAATGTGCTAATATTCTGTTTTACGATTCCTGCATTTAATGGTCCATTTTAGCTTGCACTTTCAACCTCTGTTTAAAAAAAGAAAAGCTGAAATAAGTAATCATGTGGAATACATCATTATCCATTGACATAAAAACTTAATAACCTGTGTCTGTCATAACTTTGGTTCAAGAAATGCATGCTATAAATTTAATGTATTTTTGCAATTATAATTTTTCAGCTTCAGAAGTGCAATTTTTTAGTTGTTAAGCTTTGCTGTTTTTCTAAAACAAGGAAGGGAGATGGAGTGTAAAAAAGAAAGACAATAGGTAATATGCCATGTCTTAATATAAACTAATTTAGATAGTCTTTTCTTGGAAAAAAAAAAAAGGAAAATCAATAATCTTAAGACTTCTCATCAAAATGAGTTATTTAGAAGTAGTGGTGCATTATTATAGAAGACACATTGGTTGTATAATAAAGAGGAATCTGCTTTTGTTACCTTGGTTTATTAGCAAGATAAAGTTCCAATGATGGTATAGATGACTGTATGTTCACAGTGTAACTGTTCCTTGCCTGTTCTGTGGCTAATGTTACCAAAAGTAAACACAACTCTAAACTCTGCAGGTACATCAAGTGTAGCTTCAAAGTATGAAGAGCTGGAGTGCCTTTATGCTGCAGTTGGAAAGGTTATTTATGAAGGACTTACTAATTATGAAAAGGCCACTAATGCTAACCCTTCTCAGCTCTTTGGTAAGTTTCTCACATCTCTAGTAGACGTATGTAGAGTGCCCGCTAATGAGTATGATCTTTGTCACAAGCTTTTATTTTCCGTAAAGAGATTGAAATCTGATATCATGCAGAGGAAGCTGTGGGAAGCATTTGGAGCTAACTTGAGAGACGAGCTTGGGATGTCTGTCATCTGTGAAGGAAGGGACTGGGGCGTTCGTTGCATTCTGTCATCTCCTGGTTGCTGACTTGGGAGCAATTATTGAAAATGGGGAGCTGCAGCTGTGCTAGATGGAAGCCCTCTGTATTCAAAGCGCATAGGAAAAAGATGCAGCATTCAGATTAACCAAAATATAAAGTAAAAGTTACTGGGAACTTGTTACGTGGAAAAACCGAAATCCTGTGGATACTACTCTGAGATACAATAGAATATTTCAAGGAATCTGTGTAAACATTCTTACATGTTACTGCCTTATACTTTCTTTTCCAGTTGTTTTTAAAGCCTCATTTATCAGCTGATTTAAACAGTATAGGAAGATTTATGTATTTATAGGTCTTGAATTCTCAGTAAGAAAGAAATTACAAAAATACTATTTTTTTCCTTGAGTGAGCAAATCTGAATTTTTAGCATATACCATCCTGAAGAGCTGAAATGTTCTTTTCTTGTTCTTTGTACTTAACTGGTAGAGAGCTCAGCCACATATTACAATTACAAAGATATATTGGAATAATACAGTTTGGCCCACAACTGGTTGTGTTTGTAATACAGACCTGAAATTGCACAATCTTGGAAAACTTGCTGATTTAAATGGCAAATGTCCTTCACTATTCCACTCTGTGATCTGTGTAGATAGTTGTAATTTTGCTTTGGGAATTGCCTATTTGTCAGATGTCAGGATGTGCTTTACAACAAACTAACCAAGAAAGATGTTTCTTACACTGTGCCCAGAGCTCACTTAAAAGCAGCACTACAATCTGTCAGGTGGTGCATATCTTATTAATTCTGTGTTTAAGAGGCTGAACTTTGCCAGATTTTGTGCACATCTGAGCAGGAAAAGAAATAAAAACTTTTGAAGGAGCCGTTCAGTGAACAAACCATGCTTCTATAAATATCGTTGTAGGCTTTTGTGGAATTACGAAGTTGCGGTAGAAAGGGATAGCTATAGGTTTTTTAGAGGGTATAGCTGGACAGGATGTGTGTACTTTTTTTTGAAGAGTGAAGTATTTAAAGCATAGGTATTGCTAAAACTGATTGGTTTGCATGTATATGAGTAAGCTTGTATTAGGATAGGCATCGTTAACAACTGTGTAATTTGAAGGGACTGTGATCTTGTAGGCATTGTGCATTCATAAGCTGTGCCGAAATTGCCTATTTTAACAGTGTTAACTTTTTCAATCAACAGTAACTCATTTATGAATCTTTATGAAATTTCTATTTTAGAAAACAAGACTGTGTAATTTTTTTATTTTTAATTACTAACCCAGGCCTATTCATGTAAAAGTTTTGCTACTTTTTGCTACTCGAACAAATGTGCAACATTAGTAGTAGTTTCATTTTGCCTGGTTAACTTTTTTTTTTTTTTTTTTTTTTTGAGGTCTTGAAAAGGTGTCTGCTCTCAATCCCTCTCTGTCCTCTCTTTCTCTCCCTTGCCCGCCATAACACACTTATATACAGAACTTTGAAATATTTTGATTAATGCAAAAATAACTTTCTAGTCTTAGACTGAAGACTAAAGATGAGACTGCATTTTTTCTTCAAATCTGTCCAGATTTCTAGTGTTTGTAACTTGGGTAGTCCCGTGCTTCTTTCACAGCAGGACAAAATACAGCTAGAATGTTTTCCTGTGTTCTTTGTTCTTTTATAGAATGAGAACATCCACATTAAAAACATGTATCTTACTCAGGTCATGCCCAATAAAAGTTTTACTTCCTTAAGTATTGTTTTTATCTGTAGGTACTTTAATGATTCTGAAGTCTGCATGCAGTAACAATCCCAGCTATATTGACAGATTGATTTCAGTTTTTATGCGATCTCTGCAGAAGATGGTCAGGGAACACTTAAACCCACAGGCTACAGCAGGAACAGCAGAAGCAAATACAGGTATTACGTAATATAGTCTAAGGATGTTAATAATTAGAAGTGTTCTAAAGTATTAAAATCTCTTCATCCTAAAGGGATTCAAATGATTTTCTACTTTTGTGCGTGTTATTACATGTTGCAAAAATACTTCAGCAATATTGAGAAATATTACTGAAGCATTCAAGCATAAAAATGCACTTTGAGTTCCTGTTACCTGCTTAATATATGAATTTCAATATTAACCCAAACATTTCAGTGAATGGTTAGTGAATATTTGTTGACCTACAGCATATATAGAAATACTGAAATTCTTCAACCGTTTATAGTGATGAGGGGAGAGGGGCTGAATTTTTTTGATTGTTCTGTGCTTTCACTTTTTTTTTTAACTCCTTACTATTTGATAATATTGGAACAACTGTTTGTGAAATTAACTTGTTGGAGCTGATGCTTTTGTTTTATCTTAAAATAGCATCTATTTTGGTCTGTACAGTTCTGTGTATCATCAAATGAATCAGGTCATGAGTCATTGGAAAAAATCAGATGTTCTTGTATAAGACAATTCAGTGCTAGTAAAGAGCACTGTAATTTATTAATGAATAAGCTACTGAAGAAAATACTTTGAAAGAATTGCTGCTGTTAGATTCCCAGCCCATATTTTAATTAGGTAAATGAGAACTGTGTGAATTTTATTAACACTGAGAAACAATTGGAAAATCATTAAACTTGACAGATAAGCAAGTCAGAAAATTAACAGAACAGGTGTGCTGCATCATACAGTATTTGTTTCACAAGTTTAATTGCAGTTTTTCAGTACTGGGATTCTGTAATACCTTTTACCAAAGATTTACTGAAATGAAATGACACAGGCTTGCCTTTAGGATTTTGAGTGGATTTGGTTTTTTTTGGAAGGAGTCTGTCTCAGTTGTTTAGGATGGAAAGTAGTAGTTCTGAAAACATTATTTCTAGGGATATATTTCCAGGTAACAGATACTGTTGTTGCTGTTTTTAAAATTACAATAGCTTATCTTGCAAATTTCTTTACTAGCTATTTATAGGTGTATACACAATTCTAATCCTTTTTTTGCATCCATAGCAGGTACAAGTGAACTGGTAATGCTAAGCCTGGATCTTGTGAAAACTCGCCTCGCTGTGATGAGCATGGAAATGAGGAAAAATTTTATACAAGCTATTCTAACATCTCTCATTGAAAAATCTACTGATGCCAAAATTCTTCGTGCAGTGGTAAAAATAGTGGAAGAGTGGGTGAAAAACAATTCCCCAATGGCAGCTAATCAGGTAAATTGAGAGGATAAAATCATTATTGCTCTCAAATACTAAATAACTATAAGCCACTGTTATAATTCATCAGTTTTTGACAGTGAGGTTTGTAAGGATCTGTTATATATATATGTTTAGATGCCCTTGATGAGGTTTGGAATATTTTGCATCCCCTGTGAAAGTAGCTGGAGTTAAAGATGTTTAGCATTTTATAGGTTTGTATTAGGGGTTTGAACTCAAATGCTGTTTTGCTGAGGACTTGTCTTAAAGTAAAAGTTTTAAAATATGTTTCACATTAACTTGGATAGAGAGATTCTTCAGGAGGAGGATGACTAATGCTGGTTTAAATTGTGTTATTCCTGTAACATTTTGTGGCCTCCTCAATTTGCCATATTTTCTGTTAGAGTTGAGTACTTGACAATCTAGCGCTGTATAAAAGGACCTGCATTTTTAAAAATATATGTTAGATTTTTGTAATCATTGAACAACTTAAACCTGGTTTTAGTCATGATTTTAAAATTCTCTAGCGTATAGTAGAAGGATAAATGCTTGAGTTATTTTTCTTTTTAAGAACTATGACCTTCTACCAAGCTATTTTTCAGTACTTCAGAAGTGAAAGTGATATAAAGGATGGCTGAGGTGTACTTTGAATGTGCCAGTTCACTGCATGTTTTAAGATGAATTGACAAAATTAATCATCTTTTAACACAGACACCTACTCTCCGGGAGAAGTCCATTTTACTAGTGAAAATGATGACTTACATTGAAAAGCGTTTTCCAGAAGACCTTGAATTAAATGCGCAGTTCTTAGACCTTGTTAACTATGTCTATAGGTAATTATAGCAATTAATCATTTATTGCAGCTTATTGGTTCATAATTTGTACCATATATGACCTTTATAACATGCCATCAATCTTTTTACGAGAGAATTAAGTGATATCCCCCCCATTGAAATGCGAAAACAGTTCATTTCATCAAGACCACAGTATGTATTTATGGAAGACAATTTGAAAATAGAAGTTCCTTAGAAAGGATTTTCTTTTTGGCTCTGCTAAAATATCTCCACTGCCTCAACCTCTTCCTTTCCCAAGATACCAGGGCATCCTCGTAGCTGGTTGTATTCTAAACGCTGTGGTGACAGCTGAAATCTGTCTGTCTTTTCACATCCGTAGGATACAAAGATTTTTTTTTTTTCCCCTTGGAAATTTATTGTAAATTATACTTTCAGGAGAGTTACTTTGCAAGCTAAACTGGCAGGTTTTGTAACATGATGAAATAATTGAAATAGTTACCTCATCAAAAAATGCCAAGTATTTAATTTTGTGCTGATGATTCATGTTACTTTGAATTACTGTTTACTGCTGTTCTGTTTTCTGGTTAACTGTGCAACATCCTGGTGTGGAAATGGTGGTCAGAAGTTTTTATGAATGAATATCATTTGGCATTTCAAACAAGATACAGATGTGGCTGAAATTGTTTCACAGTTATGATAAGATTTTATCGTGGAAGAGTTTTTACGATAGTTCTGGGGCAGTTTTCTAACAAGCAGCAATATTTTCTTTGCGGTTTCTCTCAAAATGCAGCACCTGGGTGCGTGCCATGGCATGTGGGCTTCTACAGAATGTCATCTCTTTTCATTTTTGGTATTTTGTATACAAAACCTAGAAGGCTTCTCTTTCTAATATCTCTTGTCATTTCATCTTTATCCATTTTAGGGATGAGAATCTTTCTGGTAGTGAACTTACTGCTAAACTTGAGCCAGCGTTTCTCTCAGGTTTGCGTTGTGCCCAGCCACTCATACGAGCCAAATTTTTTGAGGTCTTTGACAATTCTATGAAACGTCGTGTTTATGAGCGTCTACTTTATGTGACCTGTTCTCAAAACTGGGAAGCAATGGGAAATCACTTTTGGATAAAACAGTGCATTGAGGTAGGGAAATTATTTGTATCAGAAATACAGTTATAATGTGAGAAATACGTTTTATTCCCCATTTTTCTTGGCTGTGTGTAAAAGCATTACGCAATGTGTGTCTTGTAGCATGTATTATCTGTATCACAGCTAAAAATACCAAGTCTGCTGCCTCAGATACTTCCAGTGGTGCTTGAAAATAAATACAGTGTCTAAACCATGAGATGCTGATGCTTGGAAATTGGCTTTAATACCAACCTTTAAAATCTATTTTCTCTGCAAAAAGCTTAATGATGAGGTTAATGCTTCTTAAGAAAATCCATCTCTTATAAATGATGGTAATTATAAAAAAATACAAGTAGTGTTATAGTAGATGATTTCAAGAAAACCGTTAAGACTAGAGTGTCTGCTCTGCTGGTATGACAACAGTTGAGTGGGATTGCATTGAAATGAAATTGCATTTTTGGTTGGTTGATTTAAAACAAGATGGGAGCAAACATCTCTTCTTTTTTTTTTTTTTTTTTTTTTTAGAATTTGCATATTGAAACATGAGTTTAAAGTGGATAACCTGAGGATAACTTTGTACTCTTAAAAAGTATTAGAACTCCTTCCAGAAAGATAAAAAGCAGCACTGTGGTTTGGTTGTCTGTATATGTTAGCTGATTGAGGGCACTAAACATACGTGCTTAAAAAGTACCAAATACAGAATTTAGGCATAGAAGATCCATATTTCTTCAGCATTTTCAGGAGAGGCTTGAATAGCAATCTCGAAAGTATAATTGTGAACTTCAAAATGGTGACATAATGTGGTCAGATTAAGATGAAAATGTATTAGTGTATTTACTGAATAAAGGTGATAAATAGGCCTTAAACATATTATTGCGACTTTTATCTTGTTGGTAAATATTAAACCATAGTGATGTTTTCCTTGAAATGCTACAGTAAATGTATATTTAAAAAATCTTTTTGCTTTTTAATGTCTTAGCTCCTATTGGCAGTGTGTGAGAGAAATACTACAATTGGGACAAGCTGTCAGGGTGCTATGCTGCCCTCTATCACCAATGTTATCAACCTTGCTGACAGTCACGATAGAGCGGCATTTGCTATGGTAACCCACGTTAAACAAGAGCCTCGTGAAAGGGAAAACAGTGAATCCAAAGAAGAGGTAACTTACAGAAAATACTGTAGAAAAGGAAATCTTTTTGATGGAATATAGCTGTTCCTAGTTTCTCATCAAATAAGTTTGGAGAATATGTCTTGAAGATGATACGCACAGATTCTGCGGTATATCTTGTGTTTAATACATTGTAGTTTAACCATGCATGGGTTTCTGAGAATTTGCATTGCTTCATTTAGCCTTTTCTTTACTATAGCACAATAGCAATTCTATATCTGAACCTGAAAAATTAGCAGAAGCAAGTAGTGAGACCTGAAATAAGTTGATTGGAAGGTTATTTTGTATTTGTTTGGGAAAAAAGAAAAAGTACTTAGAAAATATGTGCATGCTTTGAGTTGTTTACTTCTGTATAGGATGTTGAAATAGACATTGAGTTGGCTCCGGGAGATCAGACCAGTACACCTAAAACTAAGGAACTTTCTGAGAAGGACATTGGCAATCAGCTGCACATGTTGACCAACCGGCATGATAAATTTCTTGACTCTCTTCGAGAAGTGAAGGTTGGTACAGTTCAGTGGTTTCCTGACAAATCATTTTAAAACTGAAGTCTTCAAACTGACCTCACATACTGGGGTTTTTTTGGTTTGGTTTTTTTTTTTTTAATTTCACACTTCTGATTTTTTTTAGCTGATTTTTTTTTTCTGTAGACATCTCTTATCTGACGTAATTTCTTATTTGCATAGGGTAAAAAATTCTTAAGCCTTCACTTAATCGCTAGTTGTTACTGTACCCCTTTCCTACAAAGTTAAATTTCATCCTCCTCCACCTGTAAGTGTATTTTAACTGTTCAGTTAAGAAAATAGTGATGGCAAAGACAGCGTATAGGATCAAAAAAGTGTATTGGCATCTTATGTTCAAATAATTTCTAAGAAGTTAATTTTAGCTGAAAGCAAGATTGAAATAATTCTCACAGTAGTAATGGCTCTATCCAATTAACTTGTTCATTCCTATTACTGAAATCATCAACTTCTTTCCTTTTTTTTTTTTTTAAAATGTTTACAGTAATGAATCACAAACTCAATCAACCTGAAAATAGGATTAAATTCTTGTTACAGTAGTCTGTATTGCTAAAGGAAACATATTTTTGATACAGTTGTTTAAGCAGTAATGCAAGTGCCTTTCCAACCAGCATATAACTGTGAACTGTTTTTCCATAGTATTAATTGTATTTTTCCCATTTATATACATCTCTTTTTGTTTCTAGACTGGAGCATTGCTGAGTGCCTTTGTTCAATTATGTCATATTTCTACACCATTAGGAGAGAAGACTTGGATACAGCTTTTTTCACGACTTTGGAAAATCTTGTCTGACAGACAACAACATGTGAGATTGCCTCTCTCCTCACTTACAAACTCCTCTTTTTAAATGTGTTTCATGTAAATGGTGTTTCAGGAAAATGTATTTTTGTGATAAATGACTTGTTAACTTGCTTTGAGGAGTTTATCATTCTTTGTGACTAGTGTGTACCTCTATCAGTACAGTTTTTGAAATAAGTACGGCCCTTCAGCTTACAAAGAGAAGTACACTTATCAAGTGATTGTTCCCTGTATTAACAAGATTTTTAATCTAAACTTTCTAATTGAAGAATCTGAACGAGCAGATAACTATCCTGTATGTTTTTTTCTTCTAGGCTCTAGCAGGTGAAATAAGCCCTTTCTTGTGCAGCGGTAGCCATCAAGTACAGCGAGATTGCCAGCCGAGTGCACTGAATTGCTTTGTGGAAGCAATGTCACAGTGTGTTCCTCCCATTCCCATCAGACCTTGTGTCCTGAAATACTTGGGTAAAACTCACAATCTCTGGTTTCGTTCTACACTGATGCTGGAACATCAAGCATTTGAAAAAGGACTGAGTCTACAAATTAAGCCTAAACAGACAACAGAATTTTATGAGCAGGAAAGCATAACTCCTCCTCAACAGGTAGTGTTATGTTAATTGAAATACCTTACGAAATGTGAAGAGAAAAAGAGTACAATAGTATCATAGAATCTTTTAGGTTAGAAAAGACCTTTAAGATCATCAAGTCCAACCATTAACCTAACACTGCCAAGTCCACCACTAAACCATGTCCCTAAGTGCCACATCTATGAGTCTTTTCAAATACCTCCAGGGATGGGGACTCCACGACTTCCCTGGGCAGCCTGTTCCAATGCTTGATAACCCTCCCAGTGAAGAATTTTTCCTAATACCCAATCTAAACCTCCCCTGGTGCAACTTGAGCCCATTTCCTCTCGTCCTATCACTAACTACTTGGGAGAAGAGCCCAACACCCACCTCACTACAACCTCCTTCCAGGTAGTTGTAGAGAGCGATAAGGTCTCCCCTCAGCCTCCTCTTCTCCAGACTAAACAACCCCAGTTCCCTCAGCTGCTCCTTATAAGACCTGTGCTCCAGACCCTCCACCAGCTTTGCTGCTCTTCTTTGGACACACTCCAGCACCTCAGTGTCTTTCTTGTGTTGAGGGGCCCAAAACCGAATACAGTATTCGAGGTGCGGCATCACCAGTGCCAAGTACAAAGGGGCAATCACTTCTAAATCTTTGTATTTAGAAACTTGTTAAAGTAGTGTCTTTTTTTTTTTTTTTAAATTCAGTGAAGAAAGCCCTGTCCTTGTGTGTTTGTGAATACAGATACTTGCAACATTGACTACTTTGTGTCTTGCCTACTTCTCATGCTTTTCTTTCGTGTCACTGATATTTTCATATCTTTCTCGTTCTCCCTCTTTTCCATCTAGTTTTGACACTAATTATCTGCAGCACTGTAGAACTAGATGAAACCAGTTCTGCTCCTAATTTTAAATCTTGAGTAGAAGTCTATATTGTCTCTGTCTCCCTCAGAAAAGGAGTATGCTTTCCCTAATCAAGTCTGTTGGTATATGACCTTTAAGAATTATTAGCTAAACAAAATTGAGTTCCCTGTAAACAGGTGCTGTTGTGTTTAGTAGTTTGTCAGGTGGTTATGATCTACACTGGCATGTTTGTGATCAGGTGAGGAAGCTAAATATGACAGATTATTTTTACATTAAAGACCGAGTTGTTTGCTTGTTAAACAATTTTGTTTTCTGTGATTTCATCTGATATATTAGGGAAGATAAGCAAGAATCAATGTACAACCATAGGTTTGTTTTTTTTTTTTTCGTCATGTAATGCAGTGGTGTTCTTGTCAGTACTTGGTTTTTACTAACTGCTTGCCTTCCAGACTTTTTAAACAAATTTATATAAACAATTCTCTATTTCCATGGCTTTCTCAATTTGCCTCAGTGTAGAACATGTGGTTTTGCTATCTACTGTGCTTTATAATGACAGCTTGACTGTGGAGAAATATGCGTGCTTAACATTCTAGGAAATACTGGATTCCCTTGCTGAGCTCTACTCTTTGTTACAAGAAGAGGATATGTGGGCTGGACTATGGCAGAAACGCTGTAAATTCCCGGAGACAGCAACAGCTATTGCCTATGAACAGCATGGCTTTTTTGAACAGGTACACTCTTGATATTAGAAACTATTTCAATAGTTCTACTGTCAGGATGTCAGCAAATATTCTGAATATTAATAAACAACTTCAGTCTTCTAAAATAGAAGATGCCACAGCTTCTCTACTGACTAAATTAGTAGTCTAAGACCATGTAATACTTAGATAAGGTGAGATTTTTGAGACATCCGTTAGTTTTTTAATGACATCTGTAAAGCTGCCAAATAATGACTATATTCAGGAATGAGTTAATACGCATTCACTTTTTTTTTTGCTTAGAATTTATAAAAGTTTTCTTATCAATTTTTTTAAAAAGAAAAGAATGTTGAGCTAATGTGTATATAGCAGATGGAAAAATAAAATGGTTTGAATTTTATTTAGGCACAAGAAACTTATGAAAAAGCAATGGAAAAGGCTAAAAAAGAGCACGAACGGAACAATGCTTCCCCTTCGATCTTTCCTGAGTATCAGCTCTGGGAAGACCATTGGATTCGGTAAGACTTTAAAGCTGATGTGAAAAAAGTGTTTTTATCCTGCGGTAGAAGTGAAATACCCTGCTGGTTTAAAGCATTAGTTACGAGAATAAACTTAGCTCAGGACTTAACTCAGATACCAGGGAAACTTAAGGGAGTAAAAAACGCTATTTTTTTACTCCCATAACAAACCCTCAGAAGTGATATGCCTGAAGTGTTGTAAAAATGTAATTTGCTATTGGTGGAAACAGACTGGAGCTAAAATTTGTTTTTCCTGTTTAAAATGGTTGTTCAGGGAGACACAAAATGCAACTCTTCCCTGTTCACAGATTTCTGTATTATAACTGGTGATAAATAAATAAATAAATAATCTTCCCATCTGGATGAAACTTTTGCAGTTCTTACAAAGCTGTTCATAGACAAACAAATATGCAGATAATATTCTGATACACAGCATTTATAGTCACTTTTATTGAAATTTTATTTTTTTGGTAACCATGTTGACAGTGGTTTTGATTTTCTTAGTTGCTCAAAAGAATTGAACCAGTGGGAACCTTTGACAGAATATGGCCAGTCAAAAGGTCATATAAATCCTTACCTAGTACTGGAATGTGCATGGAGAGTGTCAAACTGGACAGCTATGAAGGAGGCTCTGGTACAGGTGAGTGAGGGCTTTTTATGCTAATATTTAGTTTCTTTGTTCAGTTTACTGATTACATTTCTAACAACTTAGCATTGCAGTTCATTTCACAGACACAGTGAATTTCTCTTTGGAAGTTTTCTTTGATGTCCCAGCACACAGCTGGGTATTTTGGCAATTGAAGAATGTTATTTCAACAGACAAATTTGGTTCTCTTTTTTCTGTCTGTTTATAAAGCTGTACTATGTAAGAAATTTATCCAGGGCAGGTGAAAGATGGTGCGTGGTAATGAGTAATTAAAAAGCAAAAGATGCTTGTCGTGGAAGTGTGTGCTAGCAGGGGTAGGTAGAGAAACTTAAAATGGGACCCTTGCAAGTATATGGTATTATTTAAAATAACGCAATGTTGGGGAGGGACATTTTTTGTATTTCACACCTTTATAGGAACAAAGGATCCTTTTGTGAAAGGGAATAAAGTATGAAAATACATCTATTATCATCTCCCTATCCGGGTAATGTAACTATGCTTCCAGGTGTAAAAGGGCAAAAGGCTATTGCCTCTGTAGGTTTTTGTTTATTTTGGCACCTGAAAGGAAAAGCCAAAGCGTTTTCAACTTCTACTGTTCAAACTGAAAACTGCTAAACACAATTTATTGTGTTCATCTCCACAGTACATGAAGGGGGATTAAGACATGTATCAAAATGTGAGGGTCAGGGACTTGTCAGCTAAATTTGGTTTACGCTAAATACCTTAGTGTATCTGAGGAATATTTCTAAGGCTGTGGTTCAGGACCCTTGTTAAAAAATTCCTGAAAAAACAACACACGACATCTCAGTTTCAGTGTTGATTGGTTGGTGAGGCTGGTGTACACTGCACATTATACCAGTAGTTATTGTTTTAATGAGGACAGTGACAAATTTGAAGTTGTTCATGTGTGGTGGGAAATATATTAGGGATTAGTTACTTGGCACATGCTGATTTTCTTGTTTCTTGGATTTTATAGCCATGCTTACGAGAAGCATAATAGAAGGTTTGTTGTTCTTTCAGTGGCAATGTTTTTCTGTACTGTCTGTCTGGGGATTGCTTCCTGTATCTGTCTTCTTTTGCTTTCTTTTTAAGTACTCAAATTTTTTATTACTGCAAATTAACTGCTAGATTTCTAACTTTATTCTCACTTTGAGTCTACTTTAGTTCCATTTAAAATAAGGCTCATTTTGCAATCTATCCATTACATACAATTTTAAAATGTCTTGGGAGCACCAGGAGTTGGAGCCAGTGTGGTCAAGACTGGAAAGTGGAGATCTAATGAGAGATGAGGGACAAGACAAACCCGGTAATGAACTTCAGGCAGTGAGCCTGAGATTGGGAAGCAATGAGAAGAATATGAAGTGAGGATGAAGGAGATTGGAGGAGTACAAATTTGACTAGGAGTGGCAGGGTTAACTGGGTAAATAGACTGAAGCAGGAAGTTTGAAGAAAGTGATTTCCTTTGAGAAAGTATAAAGGACTTGGTGAAACTAATGGAGAGGAGAGAGGCATTGAATTAAATGTTGCAGGGTGCATCAATGAGACTGGCTGTGCAGGAGACAGGGTTTGAATTGATTGACAGGGAGAGAGATGGGGACTGGACTTGAGCAAGATCACGGGGATTACAGAAAGGGATAGGTTACTTCTGGGGGAAAAAATACTTTGATTCTGTACAAGTAGGTGTCACGAATGCAGGTTTGTGAATCCTGCTGATTATGTTAATTTATCGTGAATGAGTGACTTTACACAGTTTGATTTAGTAGCAGTTTAGAAGTTACTTGTGGCAAATCGCAGAATTTGATTGTGATATTTTAATAGCACTCAGTCATCAGTGATTAACAAAGTGATTAGACAAAACTGATCAAAACAGTGACTTAGTTACAGATTCGAAGATGGCAAGGTTCACTATTACTACATGGAAGTGCATAAAGGAAAATTAAGTTACACTGAGTTGGAATGATTCACAGAGAGCTTGTGTATGCAGGGGATAAGGAGGACCCTCCCGTTGAGTCATGAAGTTCAGAATAGACCCCCTTGCTTTCTAAACTTCTCAGAGAGGAGTCTAGGTGCAGCTAGGTCTAATCTCAGTCTCAGACTTGGTTAACGGTTTATAGGAATAAAGATAATGCAGCAGTATAAGACTCACTTTGAAATTAAATCATACATCTACAGACTACTTAAACTGATTCACACATGCATACACACAAACATGAATGCATATATATATATATAAAAATAATTTAAAAAATGGTATATGTGTTAAAAATTCCCCTCGAGTTCAGTGAAATATTCACGTCGAGCGTCATGGCATTTCTCAACGGGCGAGGGTTGAGCCTCAAGAAGTGAAGGGTTTCAGCCCAGGCTCCATTGTCAGTCTTGGGCAATGGACTTCCGATTTTAGCAAACTTTAAGAGTTTGGTAGCTCTGAGAGGCGTCCTGCTCAGAGGGAGGTGCTAGTGCAGCCCGCTGCAGCCCAGCAGAGCTCCAAGGGCCTCACTTAGGACTGCTGTTTTATAGGATCGTGAGATGGTTGGCATTAGTCATTGTAAATCTCCATCCGACCCACAAACCGGGTTGGTAATTACTGCTCTGTTTCAAAGCTGTCAGGGGTAACTGTTCTCACTCCCCACTTCAGCCATGTAAGAGTTTCTGGTAAGGACAAGGCTGCTCTCCACTGCAACCATGTAGGAGTTTCTGGTACACCTAACTGACCAACTCACTACACAAGGTCACGGTCTGGCAGGAATTCATGAGGTTGTAAAGCGGTTGGAGAGAGAAAAGGTCTTGGGGGAGGATGCACCACCACAGTAGGTTTATAAAGTAAACTTTCAAACATGTTCCCCAAACAATTTTTTCTGTGTATAATCTTTATACTAGAAAGCATACAAGTAAAAATACCGAGACCACTTAAGAGGAGGCTTTTGTGAAGTGACACTGTTTAAATCTACAGTCTTAAAAAAAGAAATAAAGCTAAAAAGTATTTTTATCTCCTCTCAAATTGTGACACTTTGTGGTAAGTTTTGTGCCAGAAGTAAATATCATAATGATTGTACAGACTTCTAGATAGATGCATTCATGACGTAGAGTGCTGAGGCTTCGAGATTGCACTGCTAGTAGGAGTTATTTCCTGTAAGTTCCTTATTTGATGTTCTGTGGAATCAGAAAACTTGAGTTTGGAATTTTCTGATGTTCGAAGATTTCCTCAGAAGCTTAATGCATTGATGATTATATTTTTATAGTTTAATGTAAAGTTTATGGAACCATAAAATAGTTTGAGTTGGAAGGAACTTCTGGAGGTCGTCTGGTCCAATGTTCCATTCAGAGCAGGGCCCAAGGAAATCAGGTTGATTTGTCTAGTAGAGTTTTAGTATCTCTTAAGAACTGAGATGCCACAGCCTTTCTGGGCTTATTCTTCATCTGAAGTAGCACAGATGTGCTCTGCCTGTTACGTGTTGTTTTAGAAACCAGCACAGTGCCTAGCTGCTTTTGTTAGAAACTAAGGAACTTGTGTATGGCAGGTGATGTAGTTACCATCTTCATGTGGTACCGGATAATATGTATTGTTTGTACTTTCCTGCTATTGACCTTCCTGTTTCATTATGGAGTTCATTATTGTGTTCTGCTTGTAATTCATTTTGCTGAACAACATGCACTTGTAAAACATTTAACCTTCCCTTTGTCCTTTCCTGCATTTCACTCATGAGACTGTGTATTCTCTGCTATCTGTGTGCTTGATGAATGAATGCTCTGTAAAGTTTTGGCTGTTACAGAACAGTTTAAAGGAGGGGGCACAATACATACAGAAAATAACTTTTAGAAAGATTTAAATCTGGAAGATCTTTTTTATTTCCCAGTGTTCATAAACATTTTTTATGTGTGTGTGAATAAAGTTTAAATGGCTAAGGAAACATGCTGAAAATGACCCTCCGTTTTCTGAAAAGGTGCAACAGAAAATAACTAGGTAGATATTTTTTTATCTGAGAGCAAATTTTGAGGAATTCTTCCATGTGCAAAAGAAAATGGCCGTATTTAGATAACTTCCTCCTTATCCTCTCTTAACTATCTTCTTCCCAACTGTTTTAAAAGCCATCCCGTATGAATAAGCTAGTCATTATTGTTCTTGAGGTTGCTATAAAATGTCAGGCTATACAGCTATCTCAGGCTTCTTGGGACAGAAGACAGAATTCTGTATTGGAGTCATCAGTAGACCATTCTGGGATTTTTTTTTTAACTTTGTATGTGGTAACACTCTTCTATAGAAGGTTGAAAAATTTTTTTTTAGGGTTTGTTTTTGGGGTTTTTTTTGGGGGGGTGTCCCCAGTTTTAAGAAAAAAACACCCTTTTTCATGGTAGGTAGAGTTGTTCATCTGTGATTAGTTAACGTAGAAACATAAACCAGATGCAGAACTGAAATCTGAAAGGTGAGAATACTGCATTAAATCACAAGTGGAAAGGAGCTTGCTGATCCTCATTGCACCATTGCTATATAGTGTGACATTACTGGAATTACTCTGCTAAAGACGCTAGGGTTTGGAATAAAGGGGTGAACTGCATATTTAAAGCATAATTTTACTGACAAGGCTCTGAGCAGAGCCTTAGGCAGTGTTTTTTCATATTGCGGAGAGAGAGCCAGAAGAATTAGTCCATCACTTAATTGGGATTTGTTGTTTCATCAGTGCTATTTAAGTTTTGAACCAATACCTACTGGTTAAAAGTATTACATGTCAGATTGACAGTTAACTATCTAGTTTCATAATATTTGCAAGATAAAACATAATAATGAAAAATGCTGAGCATCCTTTAATTGCAATATCTTGCATACAGTTCCTGTATACAAAATAGCTTAACAGCATGCTTCATTGTGACAGCTAAGTCTGGCATGATAAATATGCCGAGTTGTTGTATGTCCCTCTTACTTTCTTCAAAATCAGATGGAATATTACATTTTTTTTAAATGTAGTATGTTTATTCTTCTGTAACCCTTTCTTTTGTCAGAAGGGAAAATAGGTGGATGCAATTGCTATGTTTTGCTTTAAAGGCTAAACTGTGAAAACAGTAAGAGTTGTTTAATTAACTAAAGGTATTGTTGTCTTTTGATGGAACCTAAATTAAAGGTGTCCAACCATTGCAACATTTGAAATGGAATTTTTCAATATTTGTAGTACTGATGGTTCAAATTAAATAGGTGTCTCTAAAGATGGATTTTGTCATTTATCAGCTCACGTGAAGCCAAATCTATAAGTTGCAAGCTGCTACTATATAGCAGCTATAAGCTGCTACAAAAATTATCTTATAGGTTATACTTACATTTTAATTAACTTCTTTTGGTTTTATACCAATTGGTATATTGTATCCTATTTAAGTATGCAACTTCAATGGCTAATTATAGAAATAATATTATTTGAGAAACCTTTAAAGCCTAAAATAAGAACTGTATTGTACAGTATATTATAAACCTTGAGTTTGAACAGAATGAAATAGATCATGTCTGACAGGTTCTGGTTTTAGAGATTTGCAAGTTGAGTAGAAGTGACAACCACAAGAAAATGCTGATATGCTTTAGCTGCTGTTACATTAAATGAGATATTTTCAGTAATGAGACATTTACTAAACGACTAAGGAGAAGATGCTGCTGAAGCCATAAATGGAGCTTTTGTGGCTCTACTCAGATTCTTGTAAAAGTGTCGGGACATGTTTGCATAAATATTAGGATATGAAAGAATAATTGATTCTATGCTGCCATACTCACTACTCCAATTTTATTGATATTCTTTAATGTGGCTGTTTTTTATCAAGTTCCATGGTTGATTCACAAGAGGGGTCAGAAAAGATGGCAAATATGTATCAGTTTTCGTAAATCTTTATGAAACATTTTTAATAATCTGCCTATTAAAGTTGAGCTATTAAAATAGAAAGTGGCCTTTGATAGGACCCAAGACTCATTTCCATTTGCTCACATTGCCATTGTGTTTAATGATCCAGTAGATAATGTAATAAAGAAAGATTATTTTCACTGTGTAAGGCTGCTACCTGGCAGTTTCTCTTTGCTGGCTCAGGCGTAAAAGTCAGTTAAGGATAACAGAAATAACAATTGTAATGGTTAAGATACAGTATATCAACAAGAAGATAATGCAGAGGGATTTCTGGGTTGCATATCAATCCATAAAGGGTTTGATGTAAAGCGGAAGAAAGAGAAGTGAAAAAGTTCTAGATTTAAGGCCTTCAGTGTCAGCTAGTGAGCATTTGTTGAGTGCAAGTTTACTGTAAAATACTCACAGAATTTAGTTGCTAGAGAATTCAAGTATTCTGCTGTTTTTAGTTGCCATATTTCTACTGTTCTGGGATTTTAAGAGAATGGTTTAAAATTATTTTCTAAATAATTTTAGCACTTTGACCTCACTTTGCACCTGTACTCAGAAATTACTTTGACATAAATGGGAAGGTTAGTTGTAGATGACTTAAAATTAACTGTTTATTCTCATAAACTTAGTAATGTCGTAGAGCAGTTAGGAAGTATAATGCTGGCATAATGTGCTGACAAATAGGGACGGGATCCTTTTAAGTGAGAAGCTGACGTTACTTGTTCTGGACCTCCTGAAGCATTTCAGAGGTAGTATGTGTTACCTGCTGAGAAGCATCTTTTTTCTTTATACAGGGTGAATTGGTTTGCAGTAAGCTTCATGCTCCTGTTGTAAGACTGCTTTCAGCTTGCTCAGCTGTCTCTGAGCTACACTATGGTTGTCAGTGTAAAAATACCCTAACAGCACACTGTATGCAGGCACTTCTACTCTTGTGCTGAATTTGCAATTTATTTGCTAGCCTGCCCTTGCCAATAACTTTGAGAGCTGAAACTCCTCTAATGACAGAAATTTTGATATTTTAGTCTGATATTTTTAGAAATTGAGGTAATTTTTGTAAAAAATGAATGTTTGTTTAAGAAGGCTTTAAAAAAAAAAATTGTACAAAGTCTGCATTTGAGTATGAATAATCTTTACTAGACTTTTTTCCATTTCATTACCAGGTGGAGTTGAGTTGTCCAAAAGAGATGGCATGGAAAGTGAATATGTACAGAGGATACTTAGCAATCTGCCATCCGGAAGAGCAACAGCTTAATTTCATTGAGCGCCTGGTGGAGATGGCGAGTAGTTTAGCTATTCGAGAATGGCGAAGGCTTCCTCATGTAGTCTCGCATGTTCATACTCCCCTTCTCCAGGTAAGAATGAAAAGGTTTTTTTGTTGCCAGTTATTTTCCAGTAGCAGGTTTCAGGACTTCTAGTAACTGTGAGCATAAAATATTTTACTGTATAGTACTGATTGGGTTTTTGTAATGGTGTTTTTTTGTTAAAAGTTGTAGAATGTGCATTTTGATTTGGATTCCTTTTAAAGTTTTTATAGTTTACCTGAATCTGTTCTGTTTGTGGCATACAGAGGTAGCTATTTAAAAATTCATCAGATTGCTCAGCTTTTTTTGTAGGCTAATGCATAATGCACTGCAGTACTTGGAGATCTTGAACATTCAGTGGGTTTTGAAGTGAGGTCCATTTTGGGTGGGTATATTATTACATTTATGTCATTTGCAGAAGTGTTGAAATAACCTCCTAAGTGTTATTTTCAGTTAACCATGTTAAATGAGGTATGGAATTTTGTCAACTGTAACGTACTCCTGTAGTGTGGTGGGGTTTTTTTGTGTGTGTGTTTTTGGTGGTTTTTTTTTTTTTAAAAAAAAAAAAAAAACATCTGAGCTGTTACTGCCCCGTAAGGGAAAAGTGTATTTAGAAATGCTGGTGTTTCTTTGAGGAGTAGCGTTCTGAACAGACTGAGCAAGTTCTGAACATCTGCATGGTTTAAGCATTAAGGTGAAAGAACCAAAAACTGTAAAAGTCTGTTGTTAGTGAAGGACTTTTCAGGTGGGCACTGCTACCTTTAGAAAAAATACCGTAGGTTCTGGCCAATGTGAGCCTTACCTTTCCTTTGCCATTTCTGTATGATACCGCTAAATGTTCCAATTTGCATCAGGGGAAGGAAGTAAGACGTAATCTAGTCTTTAAGTACATGATATTTCTCATTGGACAGGGACTTAACTGTATATACAAGTTCTGCTGAAAAGGAGAGTGGACTCTGTTAGGTAAACTAACACGTATACCTCAAAGCTTCATGTACTGGTCTTCAGCTTTATTAGTTGTCCAGCTAGCTCATTTGGCAGGTTCTGTTCAACATTGCATTAAAATCTTGTAGTACTGTTGTGAAAAGAATTCCCATGTTGAATCACATTGCTTCACAGACTGAGGGGTGTTGGATTGGGAAGAGTGATGTCTGATTCCCTCATCTAATCTGATGCCAGCTACAGGAAAGAAAATTCCTTCGGTCTGAGTGGAAGGCTGTATTTCAGTAACGCTCCTTGTCTACATGTGGGTGCATATCGTCCAAATTTAGCTGTGCTGATTGAAAAGGTTACTGCTTCCAACTAATTGGTTCATTTTAATTCCAGTCTGTTGTGGAGCACTCGTGTGAGTAGGTCAGCTAGCAGATTTGAGTCAGTGGTAACCTCTGTCAGGGGCCTTTTGCTGAGCTGACAAGGAATGGAGTGCTTGAATCAGGAGTGGGTGGAGCCCTATGGCCTTACTAGTTTGTGATCTGAAAGAGATCTGTATGCTTTCTGGACAAAAATGGACAAAGCACGCCTAAAGTTTTGAGAGAAGCTTGCTTCTAAAGTCGGGGCAGGATTCTTGCAATGAAGCAGTGAGCTGTCCTATCCAGAATGAAATGAGGGACGACTAATGAATTTGGGGTTACAAGAACTCAAAGAACAAATAAAACTCCCAACATCTCCCCCAAAAACGAATTAAAAAATCCTGCCAAAAGCTGAGTATTCTCTAATCTTAAGGACCTTAATTCTTTGTCAAGAATGTTTAAAATAGGGGAAGAAGTTTGTAACTTGATTTCATACTGTCTTGTAAAATTACTGCAGTATATTGCACATGACTTTTAACAGCACTGATGTTCAAATAAACTCTTGCGTGCATGCTTGAATCCTTGACTTAGAAAGGATGAGTAACTTTCCAGTTGGATAACCCAGTTGCATACACAGAGGATGGGCAAAGCTAAAATTTTTTGTGCCATTTTTCTACTTATTTACTCTTTTCTTAACTCTGTTATCCATTTCTATGAAAAGGTAGAGCTCACTGGCTGCTTCTGACTCATAAAAGCATTTTGCTCTGAAAAGTGGCCGTGCTGTTTTCTGTTTCTCTAAAGGATTATGCTTGGAATAAGGAAAGTAAATGATTACTTTTCTTTCATCCTTGCTGAACAGGTTCTTAGTGCTTATTTAAGTACACCATATTTTAACACTCAAATCATTAAATATTACAAGGCAAAGAATGTACTGTTTTCCAGCATTTATTTAAAAGTAAACTGGCTTAAGATGCTGTGTACCAGGTACATCTTTATTTTTGCTTGTCAGAAATCTTTTATTTTGTTCACACAATATTGACAGTTCAAAGATGAGATGCGTTTAAATCCTGTGCTTTTGGTCTTTCTCTTTGGCATACATGTTACTTGCAAATGGTCCACTTAGAAAATTAGGGAAAAGTACTTGTTTCTTGTCCTGTCAGGAAGAGCTTGTAAGAACTTGAGACCATTTTTTTCAGACCTCCAGAAATATTTTTGTGAAGCAGCTGGCACAACTCTGGTAATATAGAATATGTAGTTTAATTATTACGTGAGATGAAGTAACATGTGTTATGTGGTGAAAAATGTATGGCTTGTGTCCTTTGCAACGTTTACACATATTTGACCATAACAAAAATGGTCTCCTGTTTCCTTTTGAAATGTGTGAACTGTCAACATTTACACAGTATGTGATCTGGACAAAACATGGCATTCATTTGTCATTCAGGCTGACTGTGTCCCTGTTTAGATGTCCTGATAAACATGCACCTGACGAAGATTAGCTCTCGTTATTGTTGAGGGAACCTTTCATCTCCAGAGGAGATACTCTGGAATATCTCAGTGCAACACAATCTGAAATTTTGTAACAGGGATGCATTTGTGGATGGACTGTTGCTCGGAGAACTAGGAATGAATCTTACCAGTAGAAATACAGAGGATCTTGCTTTCCGAGTTCTGTTTGATAGAGTGGCTTCTGTAATTCTGTTTAAGATCAGTAGTTTCACCCTGTGTGTCATGCCCCGTGTGATTCATAAGCAACTAAATCTGCGTGATCTAAAGTACCTCTACTAAAATGACTGTCCTTGTGGGTAGAGCTTACACAGCAGCCCATACCGCTGTACTTTAATATGTTTCGATGCATCAGATAAAGTGAATAAATATGGATGTCTTCTCCATATTGAAAGGAAGTTTTCAAGTAAATAGGGACAATGTTTAATTTGTTTGAGCTGATACAATACACCTAGAAGGCTTCTTGATGAAATGAATTCCTTCCTGCTAAGTTTTCACTGATGTTTCAAGTTTTTCCTCCCCTAAGACTGGCAGTATCTGCAGCATGAAAGGATTGGTATTGCTAAATAAAGAATTTAAATGCTTTCAGATATCAATTAAAACAAGCTTTTAAAATAATCTAATATGTATATATCCCTCACGAAGAAGTGATAAATTAGTCAATGACTGACAGAGGTACAAATGCAGCCATGAATTTGCACTGCAGTAATTACTTTTTTTTAATATCAGATAGTATGTGATTAAATACCTGTGAGAAAATTAAATTTATGTGATGAATGGGTGCAGGATGAAGGTTAAGCTATTGTGAGAGCTGATACTGAGATGATTGTAGGAAAATATTACTTTGTTTAATTTATTTTGTTTCAAGAGACTTCACGCTGTAAATTTAGACTGCCTTTTTTTTTTTAATAGTTATTTTATTTGGTTGATTAACAATGAATGCAACTGTTATCTGCCAAGAGGTAGCTTAGAGAATACTACATTGGTTTTATTGTACTACAGGTAATTAAATTCCATTAAAGTTTCTGGGCCTTTTCTTCAGGTTGTTGAAGTTTTAACAAAATGTCTGTGCCTTTCGTAGGTTGGACACTACTGCCCTCTTCTGTTTGTTCCTCTCATTAATTTGAACATAGTAGATGTCAGTGAAAAACCATCCTTAACTTAAGTAATTTCTCAAAGCTAAGGTCTTTGCAGAATATCTTAAAGTAACACCTTCAGGAGCAGGTAGATAGTATTTCTGTTTCAAGTTTCTATTAAATCAGATCATGACCAGGGAATTTATACTAGTAAGTTCTGTTAAAAGTTTTGATTTTTAATTACTAAAAGATGTGTTAAAAGTTGTGTTTAAGGTCAGTATTTTTACTTCATCCTTGTATTTAGCACACTGTATATATATTTAGTTGTGCTTTTCTATGATTAGGGTTGATGTAGTAAGTCCAAACCTGTATGCTAGAATTCTAAGCTGTGTTTAGATGTGTGTGGGGAAGAGGATGGGGGTGATCTTCAGTGTAGATCCAGTAAACTACCTTTCCTTTGGTGTTTGTGTTTTTGTGGTGGGGCTTTTTTGGGGGGGTTTTTTGGTTGGTTTTTTTTAAGAAAAAAAATGCTTCGTAAAAGCAAGACACTGCCATTTGAGGGATAATTTGTGAACACATTTGCAGTTCAAAATAAAAGAAAGGATGAGGGGATTTTTATCTTACTACTGTCAAGGAAAGACATGTCATAGTTGACCGAAGTTAAACCTAGCAAGCAAACCCATAGTATTATAGGAAGAACACATTAAGTATAGATCAGTAATGTCTGTTTGCAACCAAATAACGTTAGTGCATCTAGGTTTTGTCAGAATGAGGTGTGCATGAAATAAACTATTTGATACTTGTGCCCCATCCCTGGAGAAGAGGGGAGCCTGAAGTTATGCAGGGACATTTTGCAAGAATGTAAGAAAATACTTTATGGCACCTTTATTTATTTTTTTTTAAATAATCTGTTTGTTTATTAAGACTAGTGACCCACTGGTATAAATTCTGTGCTGATGATTCAGTGGATGAATTCAACATTTCAGTCAATGACTTAAGTGTTGAATCAATCTCATGGAATCTTTTGCTAGTTTTTTAAAGATTAGGTTGGCTAAAGGTCATTTATGCAACTAATGGACAGGTCCCTTAAACAGCATAAATAGTTTCATCTTTACTTGATCATTTAAAGGCGGCATCATTCATACAGATCTTTTTCTAACAGTGAAATCAGCCAGGTTATTGTATTATCGTTTATGATAATTTATATTGTTTAATGTTTTCTAGGCAGCACAACAAATAATTGAACTTCAAGAAGCAGCTCAAATAAATGCAGGATTGCAACCAACTAATCTGGGGAGAAACAACAGCTTACATGATATGAAGACAGTTGTAAAGACTTGGAGGAACAGGTTACCTATTGTGTCAGATGATTTATCCCACTGGAGCAGCATTTTCATGTGGAGACAACACCATTACCAGGGTAAAACTGCCTGGTCCAGCATGCATTCATCATGTAATTTTCCAGACAACACATTGTTTGAAATAAGTTCTTGGGGTTTTTTTTGGTTTTGTGTTTTTTTTTTTTGTTTTGTTTTGTTTTGTTGTTTTTTTTTTAAACATGCAAGAATGTTATTGATTTTGACAAGTGTTTGTTTTTATTCAATTTTCATTTAAATGTTTCATTATCTTAGTCATCCTTTGATATGTATTGCTGTGTGAGATATTGCTGTATATATAATTTAATTTATAATGACAAACATCTAATTTTTTTTTTCTAGCCATTGTAACTGCATATGAAAATAGTTCTCAGCATGATCCTAGTTCCAATAATGCTATGTTGGGAGTTCACGCTTCTGCATCGGCAATTATCCAATATGGAAAGATAGCTCGAAAACAAGGGCTGGTCAACGTAGCTCTGGATATACTGAGTCGCATTCATACAATTCCAACTGTGCCCATTGTGGACTGCTTTCAGAAGATTCGCCAGCAAGTTAAATGTTATCTTCAGCTGGCTGGAGTCATGGGCAAAAATGAATGTATGCAGGTATGGTAGCTTTATCTCTGAAGTTGTTGTTGGAACTTGGAGGATTACAAGGGCCACCAGGTACATTGATTTAAATAAACTGCCTGTATACAGAACAGGGTCTGAATTTCATCGGCCATGTTATACCATGCATAGAGTGTTAAGTAATGCTGTTAGTCAAAAGCAATCATTGTCCTCTTTGAACTGAATTCTGTGAATATATTAAAAATTAGCCAAATTAAAGTGGAAATACGTTTTTTTAAATCTTACAAGATGGATAAGTGGAAGGGACTTTGAAAATGATATTATTTGCAATAGGAAGAAACAACACTATTGCAAGACTAACTGAAGCTCTCGGGCAGTTTTGAGTGTCTGACTCATGAATGAGGGATGCTGGCGTACTGAAGTGAAATTGTATGTGTTAAAAGGAAAGGAAAAAATGTGATTGTAGGCAAACCCCACTAACATGATTATAAGGTCAGCAAACTAGGACTGCATAATAATAACAATGAAGTAATATAACGTAATATATATAATAATAATATAAACAAACAAGGTGGAAAAGATAACCCATCACCTGATGAATGTTGTCTATAGTATCTATAGATACTGTATCTATAGATTTCTCTCTATGTCTATCTATATATCTATCTATCTCTATATAGTATACTATAGTATAGTCTATAGTATCTACTGCGTAGGCCAGTGGAAACTTAAAATTGTTGTCAGTCCAGATTTTTTTAAATTAAAATTAAATACTAGAAACTTGTGCTATTTAAATTTCAAGAGAATATTTTGGCAGGTTTTTTATGGCACTTTCATTTTAATAAAACCTTCCATTTTAGAAGGCTTTTCTTACAAAGGCTTATTTAACAGGGTCTTGAAGTTATTGAATCAACCAATCTGAAATACTTCACCAAGGAGATGACTGCTGAGTTTTATGCATTAAAGGGAATGTTCTTGGCACAGATTAACAAGTAAGTATGTTGGCTGGAAGGGGCATTAGCACACATCTGAGAAAAATGCAGCTGAAGTATTTCAACACAATATTTGAGCAGTGAAGTTGTTCCATATGTTTATACCAGCCTAAAATTTGTCACACTGTATAGAAGTAAAAGTATATGTGAGAGTTCCTTTGCAGTTTGAAGATGTAATGGTTGGTCATATTTCTAAGTATTGTAGGAAAGAACTAGTTAAAGCAAATGTTGCACCAGTTCTTATTTTAAAAGTTTTCTATTTCAAGGGATGAGATGGGAAGAGGCAGAGAGAATAGGTTTGTCCAGAGCTTTGCAGCTTGAGATACATTCCCCCCTGCCCAGTTCTGTGAGTACTTTGTTAGAGAAACTGATGTCTAACTGACGTCTTAGTGTAGTTGATGAAAGGAGGTTGCTTTAATTATGTTCTTAATGTAAATATCACATGTAAAACCAAGGGGAAAAAAAAAAGTTGTCTATAAGCTTATAGCTACTTCAACAAAATTAGCCTACTTCTTTGTTTCTCTCATTTCTGTTTCATTGTTCATGGTGTATGTCCCATTAATAGCTGCAGCTGATCAAGGTGTAGGAAAATGTGTGGTGGCATAGTTCAGAGTGCTTGGACAAATCTGGTGTGCTGTGCAATATGGAAATGCAGCACTCAGATAATTGAATTGAAAAGACTAATGTGGTGTGTGTTGGAGACATCTTGCATTGCAGCAAATAAACACCTAGGTGCAAGCCTTGCTTTCACAGAACTACTTTCATAATATTTTTGCTTTATGCTGGCAGGCATCTTACTATTTTGAGGAAGATCTCCCTTTAGTTCAGTAAACAAATATCTCAGCAGTCAAGTTTTGTTCAGTGATACCAAAAAAACCCCTTCAGATTTCAACAGCTTTTAGTATGCATGGTATTTAATGGCAGTATTGCTACATGTTACATATGGGTGGAATAATTCCTTTACCACTATATTGTGGATACTTACAGAATGAAATCCATCCGGTTTTAAGTGGTACACTGCAACCTTGTGTAGCAATTTAAGTCAGGAAATGGTGAATATCATCTTCTGTGGATACAAGAGAGAATTTTAAATAGGCAGAATGTAATTACTTTGATGGAAAGTGCAATGGGCTTTCTTTTTAAAATATGGTTCTGATAACATGGTTCTGATGTACTTACGGTTTCTTAATTTTGCCAAAAACCATACAGGCACTTTTTTTTTTTAGCACCGCAGCTGAGGTCAGGAATTTAGGAAGGTTACGGTTAGGAACATGGCAATGTTGAACCTGAGAATGTGTGACTACTGATTACCTGTGTGTCAACTGAACTGGAAGTGAAAGGTCACCTCTGCTCTTGCATCTCCCTGTGCTGCCCATTTGCTGAGCAAGGTGATAGAAACCATTTTGAAAAAAGTCATCTCCAGGTGTCAAGAATGATGGATTGTAGAGAAGGAGAAAAGAAAACCGACTGAAAAGTCCCCTTTTTTGTATAGTAGTGATACAAAGTCATCTATCAGGTTGCTGCTGTAGTAGTTCACTTTGAAACCTTGAGCTAGGGTGCAGAAAACCTCTGAAAGCAAGTAACATTATTTGTGTAACATAAGAACTAATACACACTTTGAAAGACGAAGTTGCTTTCCTTTTTATTGTTTTGCCTCAATAGCTAGTAATTTTAATTTATCACTGTAAACCTCCAAGCTAATATTTTATATAAAAAATACAGTTAACTTTAAAAAACTAGTCAAACAAACATTACGTTACTTTTGTACTGTTTATTTCAATACTTATTCTGTAAGGGAGAAGTGGACCACTTTTATTAATAAGGAATCTTGGAATGCATTAAAAGTTCCTTTACTTCAGTAATGTGTATGTGAGCTTTCTCATCCTTTATTTTTATGCCTGAAAAGTTAGTAGATTCAAGGGCTGTATATATACTGGGATGAATCATGCCAAATCTCGAACTAGGAAGTCTTGAGGAAACCTAGAGAAGACTTCAGAAGTATCAAACAAATAATTTTTTGGTTACCAAGAACTGTGTGATTAACCTTCATACTCCTTCACTTTTCCTGTTGAAAAATAGACCTTTAAAGCTGTGGGGATGAGGAAATGAATTTTTCCAGATAATGTTGATTATAAATTTTTTTTATGACTTGGGTGGGAGAACAGTTAAGTAAGATGTAGTCCTCCATAAGATAGCTAATATAATGTCTTCCCAATGTTGCTTTTTCTTACTCCCCTTTTTTGCTCAGCAGAGAAGCACTTTTTAATGCATTTGCTTCTGCTCTTCTTGTGTTATCATTCGTTCTTCTTTCTCCCAGGATCATTGTTTGGGTTGCAATTGCAGTGCACTGGAAGTTTTCTAGGTTTTTTTTCAGGGAGTGTCTAGAGATCTTAGACACTTAGGTAATTGCTTCCATTATGAAGCATTTACTTTCATAGGTGCTGAACTTTAAGGAAAGCTAAGACAAAACAGCCGTAAGAGACATTACTAGAGAACTTCATGGAAAAATACCATTGAGTATTAAGAAAGTAATTGAGTACCCTATCAGAAATCTGACTCTTACATAATTTAGAAACTTTATGTTAGTATAAAACTAATATTCTTACTCGTCACAATGCAGGTCTGAAGAAGCAAACAAAGCTTTTTCTGCAGCTGTGCAAATGCATGATGTGCTAGTAAAAGCATGGGCAATGTGGGGTGATTACCTGGAGAATATCTTCGTGAAAGAACGTCAGCTTCATCTGGGTGTGTCTGCTATTACTTGCTACCTGCATGCATGTCGTCATCAGAATGAGAGCAAATCAAGAAAATACTTAGCAAAGGTAAGATCTAGATGTTTAAAAAAAAAAAATTGGAGCTCCACCCCTTCAGAAAAGGCTGGAATAATGTTCAATGCACAAATTTGTGCAAATAGAGAAGTATCAGTTACTGTCGGAAACCTTTAATTTAGACTGAAAGTCTGCATATGGTTGCTGTTGGGTCATTGCATGTAACTCATCGTGGGTTTTTCTACTTCACTGGGATATCTGGGTTGTTTTTTTAAGTGTGGAACTTTTTTGTGGGAGAAAAGGGACAAATCATATTCAGCACTTCTGATACATAATGCGATGAAATATCTGCAGAAAGGCAGTGCTATAGAAGTAACATAATTTGATGTCTGTCTATGATTACTATAGATAATTCATGTTAGCTTTTACCTCAGTACTACATTTTATTCCAAATAAGCTTTTTCTGTAAATTTTTACTCTAAATCAATAATTTCAGTCAAAAGTTCTTTGAGTTTTGTATTTCTGAGTTTGGGGATATTTACTTTAATCTCCCCTATGAAGAAGATTTTAAAAATGATAGCAGACTGTGGAAGACAATCTATTCTGAACATAAAACAAACACAGAAAATATTTTTCTTAGATTGAAGATGGCCTCCGTAGCACTCTGAAGTTTATTATTCTCCCTGTCTGGTTGTATAACTGTTAGTGATTTTTCGTCAGTGCTTAATATATTTGCATTTAAATTAAATTGTAGAAAAAGTATCATTAGGGGTGGACAGTTAAAATAATTAAAAACCCCCAAAGAAATACTCAAGCTCTCACTTCAAAGTTAATATATCTGAATAGCATATTTTAGGTTCTGTAAACATGCCTCATTTTCCACCCACTCCCCCAACCAAAAACCCAAAGAATTTGTGGAATGCAGTCGTGTTCATTAGCGTTTTTCTGTCTTGTTTCATAGCAAGTAGTACACTTACACTTATTTTTGACATCCTTTAAATATTATTTCTAGGGGAAAAAATGACATTGGCTAGGCATAATGAATGTAAGTTCTTGTGTCCGAGGAGGCTTTGACACTTGCAAGGACTCATATTAATAGGGTATCTGTGGGGTTTTTTTCTGCATCATATGATTGAAATGTCTTGACTTTAAGCCCTGAGATATCCTCTTGAAAATCTCTTTTAGGTTCTTTGGCTACTGAGTTTTGATGATGATAAGAACACTTTAGCAGATGCCGTAGACAAGTACTGTATTGGTGTCCCACCTATTCAGTGGTTGGCCTGGATTCCACAGCTGTTGACATGCCTGGTTGGCTCAGAGGGCAAACTCCTTCTGAACCTCATTAGTCAGGTAGGTGCAGAAGATGATGACTAATTCATTATTGTCTGTAATCCTTGTTCTTGAGATAGAAATATTTTTCAAAGCCAATTAAGAAAATGCTAAGCTTTTAAAAATGCTATTGTTTGCAACTGTTGATGAGTTAAAAAATGCTAATTTCTCTCTATAGGTAGAATATTTTAAATTTCAGAGTCAGTGTTACTTAATGAGACTAAATCCAGGGAAATTGTATGCCATATGTGCATTATAGCTTTCCCTCTGGAATTCTATTTATAACATTTTTGTGAACATTATGGAACACATTTAGAAATATGTAGTTAAATGCTTGTAATGTAGTAGTAGGGATAAAGAATTGTTAGCTTTAGTGACTAAAGGGCAAACTGTTTCATTAGTGCTTTGTTTTTTATTAGACTTGATTTTAAAAAACAAGGCTCTGTCTGTCACCGTCAGAAATCTTTACCAGGGCTTTGTAAATTTTCACTTAAGTTTAGCATGACAAATGATTAGATAAATAAGGATGAGGCTTAGGGAGTTAAATGAGGAAACTTACTTCCTGGATTTGTACCTCTGAACTGTCAGATACGAGTTTTGATTAATCTTGCTTTGGGATTTTAAGCTTTTATTGCCTATTGCTGTCTGCTGTCAATCAGAATCTAAGAATAGAATATATACCTGTATCTCAGTATAAAGTTGGTTTAAGCATGTCTGTAGACTAAGGGAGAAAAAGTGACTTCTTTCTGTTAATGTGTTTTTAGATACTGTTTTGTTTTGGCTTAGTGCGAACAGAGCTGAGACATCATGTTTTCAGAGATGTTAACTCTTCATGGTCTGATTTCGGCTCTGTTTTAGCATGCACACAACCTGGAAGCATTTTGACGTTTGTTCATTCAGATTAACGTAAAACAGTTGTGAAGTCCTATTAATGTACAGGTGAACATATGAAGCTCTCACATTAGCCTGTACCCCAGGCTACTTCTGTCTGCAGTGCTCCACTGTTTCCTGAAAACTGGCAAAGGACAGCTGTTGTGCTGAATTCCTCACAGTATTCTTCTTTCCTTCCCTCCACTCTTGGTTTTTGAGATATGGACTTGATGGTCCATGTGGGTCCCTTCCAACTCAGAATATTCTATGATTCTATGATGTCTAGCTCCTTTTATACTATCCCTTATCTTTGCTCTTTCAAAGTTCTGAGAACGTGTATTTTTGTGGAGAGACAATATGTCAATGTGTGTTTGCATGTGCATTGATACTTGCGTACATAAATCTAGATAAGTATGTGTGTGCATATGTATACGTATGTTTCCTTCCCCCTCTCTCCATGAAATTAAAATGAAACTTGGAAGAGACCATGCACTCAAACAGCTTAAGAAAGCATAGTAGTTAAGGAAGAATTTCTGATGTGTATGGTTTGGTATTGTCTTGCAACACCAGTGTGTTCCACTGTCTTCTGACAGCAGACAGAAAAAACTTACTTCAGTGAGTTGTAGACACTTTTTATTTGTCAAGATCTGTATAAAACTTTTAGAAATGAGTGCCTACTCAGAAGTCCTAATGTAGTTGGAGCTTAGGCTCATAAATATCGAAAATATTTTTCTTTATCTTGCCTTTAAACTTCAGGTCCATAGAAGGAATATAAAATAAAAAAATACCAAATTCTCTGTGTTACTAAGTTTGCAGAAGTACTAGAACCTCAACCTTACAATTCTCTTCAAATAACTTACTCTTGAATTACAGCATGTAGCATATATGCGTCAGGTTAGTAATCTGCCATAAATATCATATTACTGAACAGTTAAATGCCATTGCAAAATTTCTACCACTTACCATACCTATTTCGATGGAGAAAGAATCCATGATTTAGTGAAATTGTGGCTGGCGAAGCCTCTAATCATCTCTTAAGATGTGCTCTGTCATGGGGAGTACTTAGACACATCGTTTCTTTCCTTTAATAGATACTGAGATTTACAGATTTTAAAGGGGATGTTGAATGTTAAGATCTCTTTAGCTTTTTTTTTTTAATGGAAGCCATAAAATCTTTTTTATTTTTCAGTGAGATTGGTATCCCCTTACATTAAGTGCCACAATTAGGTGGAGTAAAGTTACTCTCTAATGGGCCTTCTTATCAAGTATCATGGGGCTCGCTGGGAATTGTGGCCTAATTTAAAGACTAACGGCTGTCATTATGTCTGTTTTTCTTCCATTATGTACATGAGTAAGATCTTTGAACTGGCCCAGCTGGTATTCTGGCATTATGCTGTTTTCAGGTTTATTAGGCAATATGATCTGTAAGCCCTCATTAAGTAATGCCTTAACAGTGTGTGTAGGGAGTTACCATTTCATCTTCTTTGGGTTCCTGTTACTGAAAGAAGCTTTAATTTCCTAGTTTTCCATAAGCTGTTATTTAAAACAAGGAGCTGATTATTACTGAATTGCGTTCATTTACAAAGAGAATCTGTATGTGTTGATCTAACCTATAGTCAGTTTTCCTTAACTGAGAAATATGTATATGTGTATCTCCAAATAGGTGGGAAGAGTCTATCCCCAAGCTGTCTACTTCCCTATCAGGACCCTCTATTTGACCTTGAAGATAGAACAACGAGAGCGCTACAAAAGCGGTGAGCTTGAAAGGATCAAATTGATTCAGCAATTTGTAATTTAGTTATTGAGTTTCACGTGATGTTACTGGGAAAATAGATTCTCTAGAAAACATACCAACTTATCAAGGCTAAGGAAAAAAATTCTTGATAAACTTTGCTTTCATTCATTTCTTCCTGTGATGTTAAAACTACAGATGGCTTGAGCTGTATTAAATTTTCTTGAATAAAACATTCACCAAGAAGAGTTTAATTTCCTTCATTCTCATGTCACCTTAATTATTGAGAATCACATGTTCTTTATTGGAGTTTTATCGTTAAAAATTGGTGGAGAGGTAGAAAATTCTTGGATTACAAATACAGAAGAGCGTCATAGTTTTATCAGATGTTCTAGTATACTTTTGCTC